TTCTAAGCTTAGTACCTTCCTACTTCTCTCTCTCTCTCTCTCTCTCTCTCTCTCTCACATGGACCTGCATTAAGGGCTATTTCATCTCTCCCTCTCTCTTACCCACATCACGGACCCGGGTCAGGGGCGGATACGTCTCTCCATCCTCCTTTCCTTTCTTTCCCTTTGCTCTCGCTCCCTATATCTATCTCAAGCGACGGACCCGTGCTATAGGCGGGTCCATCATCTCCCCCTCTCTTTACTCTCTCATCCTCTCTCTCTCACAGCACCAGGTCACAGACCCGCACCATAGGTTCGTCCTTCTCTCTCCATCTTACTCTCTCTTGACCTCTCTTTTATGCCTCCAAGCTATGGATCCATGCCATATGCAGGTTCGTCTACTCTCCTAGTCTCTCACTCTCTCATTGCAATCTCTCTACTCTCCACCTAGGCACGGACTCACGCCATAGAAGGGTCTGCGTTACCGCTTTCTCTCTAAATCTCCTCTCTCACTCTCTTACTTCATTCTCCCTAATTCTCGTCCCTCATTCATATATCTTCATCTATTCTCTTTGTCATCTCTTCTATCTTTCTCCCTTCTCTCTTTCACTTATCTTTTATTTCATTATTTCTTTATTCTTTCTCTTCATTCATATATTCTTTCACACTCAAGCACGCGAGCCAAGATCCTCATGAGATAGTTTCTTAAGGCTTTAACTACTTCTTAGGGCTTTAACTACTGGGTTCCTCTAACCATCAGTCTACGTAGTGTTTTGGGTCATGAGAGACATTCGATTCTCTCACACTTGATCATTCGGGTTGGGGTCCTCTTGAGTCAAAAAGAGTTTTAACCCTTGGACTGCTCTAATCACTGGTTCACATAGTGTTTGAGCTATGAGCGATTTCTGTCTCTTTCACTCTGTTCTTTCTTCTATACTCCCTTCTTCTCCTCTCTTAATAACTCTCTACTTTCTTGCATTTCATCTCTCTCTCTCTCATCTCTTATAAATATATTTTTATCATACTCTATCTTTTTAAACTTGGACAGCTCTCGCAAGGCTCTTTGGAAGTGATTTTGCTATACTCTAGAACTGCATACCTCACTCTCCAGCTTCAGAAGTGATTTCCCAACAGTTTAGAACTACGGACCTCACTCTCTATAATCCTCCACAGTGCTCTTGACTTTGGTCTCATAGTCTAGGGAACTTTCCAACGTTCCAGGTTACCTCCTTAGAGAGGGGATGTCGGAAAGATGTCTGAGTTTTGAGAGGCCTTTTGTTTCTTATATTCTCACTCTTTTCTCATCTCATCTCATATTTCTCTATTCATCTTCTTCTTAGTTACTCATGGGTTCGTGAAAGTCTAGATCTACTGACCGTACTCTTCCTTTGCGGTAGTGAGCTTTCAATAGACTAGAACTACAGACCACACTCTCTTGAATCCCCCAAGATACCTATGGCCTCCAAGCCCAGTATCTTTCTTGTCTCTGGTAATACTTCTTGGGAGTGGTGATGCCAAAAGGCTGCCCGATTTCTAGGTCAGTTCCTCCTTTCTCTTCTTTACTTCTTATTCTCTATCCACTTTCAACCCCTCTAACCCTTAGAATAGACCCCCAATCTACCATATAACTACCAATAGTAGGAGATCTCAAAAGGTATACCTTGAAGGCCATTTTTAGTTATGTAGATCCCAGTGCTGTGCAGTGAAGTAAGGAAGCCGAATTCAAACCGCGCTGCAAGGACAATCGAAGGACTTTCGAAATGATCTAAGAATGTGAATCGCCCGGACATGCCCCCGAAACCCAAAACGGTGAGGCAGGAGCTCGATGCCTTCTTTGTCAATTAAAATCTCTCTCTTTGTTGGTTCATATCCGCACGTCATGCACACGCACATGCCCACACGTGGGCCACACAGTTGTCCGAGAGAGGATTCCTCCGACTGGGCCACCCATATCGAGCCAACCCGAGACGACGATAAATCAGGCCCGACCAGTGGTGAAAATGGAAAAGATAGAAATAGTAGCAATACTATGGGAAAAAAAAGTCGATACAAAAATCCAAGGAATGGCGAAAATCCAA